CCTCCCAACAACTCTTTGAGAAAGGCTAGGCTTAGAGAGATTGTCTCCCTGGCCCAAGGTCACTCAGGACTGGTTGGGTCTTCGCTGAGTGGGGAATTGGAATCCAGCTCTTGCTTATCCTTGGCTCATACTCTTACAAAGCCTTTGCCAACCAGATGCCCTCCATGCTGGCAGGCTGGGGTTGAGGGACTGCCAGTACTGCAGACTGAAATGCTTGAGTGGGCATATCTAGGGTAAGGCCATTGTGCAAGGAAACCATAGCTGTCAACTTACAGATTTGAAAATACAGTGGTACCTCGCAAGACGAATGCCTCGCAAGACAAAAAACTCGCAAGACGAAAGGGTTTTTTGTTTTTTGAGCTGCTTCGCAAGACGATTTTCCCTATGGGCTTGCTTCACAAGACTGAAACGTCTTACAAGTTTGTTTCCTTTTTCTTAACACCGTGAATACAGGGAGGGAGAGGAGCTGCTTCCTTTGAAATTTAAGGGACATCATTTAAGGGACAGCAGCGGGACATGGCGCTGGAATAAGGGACTGTCCCTTTAAATAAGGGACACTTGACAGCTATGAAGGAAACTAGTCGCAAGCTCATCTGCAAGTCACCAGCTGTTCCTTTTAGCTAAAGATGTTGGGAGTTGATTGATCCTGGGGCTTTCTGCAAGCAAAGCATTTGTTCTGTTACTTCCTCCCCATACAATGCATATCAGTGTTTAGAAATAAATTAAAAAATTGTCCAGTAGCACCTTCAAAAAGGAATTAGCTCAAGTTCAACATGGCCAAAAAAGGAACTCATCCCAGTTCATATCTGTTCCTTTAATGAGCTGGTTCAGTGCACATTCAGCTCACAGTTAAGTTCAAGGTCATTCAAATGATGCTTGGCAATAGAAAATAGCATTCAGAATGTTACAAGCTGCTCTACTGAGTGGAATGTGAATTGTTTAGTTTATCCCCCCCCAAAAAAACCCATGTTCTTTAAGTTTAAAGGCCCAAAGAGTTTAAAGAGAGGGGGAAACCCCACATGTGAGATAACTGAAGATCAATTAGAAATAATTTAAAGTTCTACCCCCAAAATGAACTTAATTCATGTTCAGTTCAACAAGCAACTATGGAAACTACTATCAGGTGTAGTTAAGTATTTTTGAACTTATCCAGTGAACTTTGTTAAACCGAACTAGTTCATTCCACGTGTTGTATGAGGTAGATCCATGCACAGGGGCCCAACACTAAAAATATTACTTTTTGATTACCAAGATAGGTATTACTTTTTGATTACCAAGATAGGTAAGATGTCTGGAGGGAAATCAGGGCTGACCAAGTGTTGGGGATTTTCAAATGGCATTCATCTCAGTGAAGACTATGCAGGAAAACTTCCTGCTCACAACTGAGTCCAGTGGGACAGATCCCAAAAGCTAACACCTTTAGGATATATATAAAAAATAAATAATAATAATAATTGTCCAGTAGCACCTTAGAGACCAACTAAGTTTGTTCTTGGTATGAGCTTCCGTGTTCTCATATCAAGAACAAACTTAGTTGGTCTCTAAGGTGCTACTGGACAATTTTTTAATTTTATTTTTTTTAAATTATATCTATTTCTACTGCATCAGACCAACATGGCTATCTACCTGAATCTAGAACCATTATTTATTTAATGACAATTATTTATCCATTTTTAAATATCTATATCTCATCCTTCCACTTAAAGAAAAGTATTCAATGTGACTTGTGACATACCTTTTGATAGCACAACCATGATTAATAAAATTTATCAATATATGCAATCTCACTTTAAATTTCTGAAGTGTTGATTTGCCCTCTAGTGGACAGATGTACAACAGCACCTTATTTCAAAGGAGGAGGGAATTCTTAGGAAAATTTGTGACAGCTCAGAAGAAGGGACAGAATGACTTTTATAGAATTTAGACTATATTAAAATTAACATAGAGGGACGCAGGTTACGCTGTGGTCTAAACCACAGAGCCTAGGGCTTGCTGATCAGAAGGTTGGTGGTTCGAATCCCCGCGACGGGGTGAGCTCCCATTGCTTTGTCCCAGCTCCTGCCCACCTAGCAGTTTGAAAGCACGTCAAAGTGCAAGTAGATAAATAGGTACCGCTCCGGCGGGAAGGTAAACGGCGTTTCCGTGAGCTGCTCTGGTTCGCCAGAAGCAGCTTAGTCATGACCCGGAAGCTGTACATCGGCTCCCTCGGCCAATAAAGCGAGATGAGCGCTGCAACCCCAGAGTCGTCTGTGACTGGACTTAACGGTCAGGGGTCCCTTCACCTTAAAATTAACATAATAGCATTCAACAGAGAGAAATTTAAATTTATACATTTAGGCAAAAATCAGATGCATAGTTATAGGGTGGTGGAGACTTGGCTTAGCAGCAGAACATGTGAAAAAGATCTCAGAATTATAGGAAATCTCAAGCTGAGTATGAGTCAGCCATGAGATGCAAATGCAAAATAAGCCTAATGTGATTTTGTCTGCATTAAGAGAACCATAATTTTGAAGTCGTGGAAAATAATTCCACCTTATTCTGTCTGTTCATACTTTAGACGGGGACCTGCTTTAGGCACCATATTTTAAAAAGAATATAAAGGAATAGGTTCAAAGAGGGGCAATGAAAATGATCAGATATGTGAAAAACAAGTTCTATGATAAATGGATGGGGGAGCTAGGTATATTTAGCGTGGCATAAAGAATAATCAGAAGGTGGTGCTCTTCAGAATTGTCATATAGAAGACTGGCATAGCTAAAAGACAAACATGTTCCATCAATGGGTATTAATGACATTTGGTGTCTAGTGGCTAATTATAATGCAGCATTCCCTGTTGATTGTCTCATCACTGCTGGTTTGTTTGTTTTTTGCATACCTTCTTGGTCTAATTTAATTATCACTATCCATACTGTTCGCATTTCATTCCCACAGCAACCAACTTGATGTGGAAAATGTTTCTTGATGGGAGAAAGTTTCAAAAGCTTTGCTGCAAGAATGTAACATAAGAAAAGTCTGCTGAATCAGTAGTTCACACAACCAGATGTCCTTATTTGAAACCAAGCAAAACCTGAGTACAACACTATCCCTAAATGTGAAATTTAGATGTTTTGCCCCAGTGTGCATCAATTTATACTTGCTTACTTTGAATTGCATCTGCCTAATTCTGGAGAGATCCTTTTGGAGCTTTTTGTTTTTACCACCCTGATTGTTTATTGGAGCTTATTTTGATTATTGTTGGGATAAGTTGCAGAGGCCGGAACCTTATGGTTTGAGTACTTCATACTCCTTCCTCTCAGCTTGTCATCTCTAGGCTGCAATGCCCTTTCTCCAATGTCATCTCCACGAAACGTAGCAAGTATGTTATCAGCATACTCATCCACCGTCACTAGCCTTGGATCTGGAATGGAAAAAGACTCCTCAATGTCCATTTCCTTCTGTCTCTTTCTCCTCTGGGGTGGGTAGAAGACACCAGAAAGAGCAAAGGTAGGAAAAGATAGAAGAGAAGGAAGAAAAAATCATGAAAGAATGAAAGAAGTAAAAAGGACTTCCAATTCTCCGTCTGTCAGTTGCATATGGGGCATTGTGTCCATGGATGGGTCACTACTCTGCACTCACCTCCTGCTAATCAGGAGTTACATCCAAATTAGTGACATGCAGCAACAAAGGTGCTTGGTGGGCTTCCTAATTTAGTTCAGAAGCGTGTTTCATCTATCATAACTTGGGACAGCCTCACTACTAATGACTGCAGAAGTGAAAATACATTATATTAATGCAACAGCAACATAGCCATCCTATGCTTCCGAGGAAGACCAACACTTCAGCAAAGTGGTCTGGTAAGACACCTTTTGCTGGATATATCTTTATTCAGAAGTTAATCCTGCAGAACTCTGCACTCCCTAGGCATGGCTGCAGGGGAATAGGGAGTTTCTGTGCATAGTGCTTTCCAGAGTGTCCAAAGCACTTCCCTTGCATTCCTTCACTTGTATACTAAAGGTAAAGGTAAAGGTACCCCTGCCCGTACGGGCCAGTCTTGACAGACTCTAGGGTTGTGCGCCCATCTCACTCAAGAGGCCGGGGGCCAGCGCTGTCCGGAGACACTTCCGGTCACTGTGGCCAGCGTGACATCGCTGCTCTGGCGAGCCAGGAGCGCACACGGAAACGCTGTTTACCTTCCCGCTAGAAGCGGTCCCTATTTATCTACTTGCACCCGGGGATGCTTTCGAACTGCTAGGTGGCAGGCGCTGGACCGAGCAACGGGAGCGCACCCCGCTGTCACTTGTATACTATCCCACCTTAAAATTGTTGCCTTTTTATTGAAGCAAACCACCTCAAGTGAGTTTCCCCCTCCATAGTGGCAGCCTGTAAATATTTTGAATAATAAGTTGAGGTGCTGCTCTTCCGTTTTTAGGAAGCTTTGCAAATATTTCCTTTTATAATTGAGAATTTGTTATAGAGTTGTTTCTGACAGAGCTGGACACAGAACAGGAGGTTGTAGCTTAGTTTGTTTGGTTTAATGAATTAGTTTGAATGAATTATTTACCCTTTTTAGTTTTATTTTTCCTTTTTAGTTTTATTTTTGTTGGTGTGATAAGTTGCCATGATGTATATATGGAAAGTTGGCATATAAACAATTTAACTGTATAAATAATAATGGGGGGGGGATATTCCCACCCTGTGCATGTCAGGCAGAGGCTGAGAGTTTTATGTCACCTCTTATGTGAGGTGAAATTCAGGGCCTCCCAATTCCCAGCTCTGCTCCTTATCTGGCAGGGTGATATAGTGGGCAGAGCATCACACTAAAACCTGGGAGACAGAGTTCAAACCCCCACCTAGCCATTAGGGCTGTTCATAAAAAACTTTTTTTGAAAATGTCTGCTCCAAAGGTCTTACCTTACCTTTCATGCATATCAGTTAATATCTGGACCCTCCTCCACTGAATTGAAATTTCAGCCTTCATGACATAGGAAAACGGCCATGACATAGGAAAACAGCTATTTTCATCACTTTATGACCAATTCAGCTTTATTTTGCAGGAATTGCATTTTTTAAAAGAACAATAAAAGATGCAGAATACAAATTGATACACCAGTACTTTTTTTTTTTTAAAAAAAACCCTTTTAATGATGATAGTATTGACGTTTAAACCCAAATGTGACTCATACGATCCTACAACATTATTATTTCTACATTTTAGCAACTGGATACGTGAATATTGAATACCAACTTTTATTATCACATAACTTAATACTAATAATGACATGTAAAGTTACATTTACATTACTTCAAGAACAAATTTAAAAATAAAGCTGTGAATGTGAACTATTTTTGGACAAAATCCTTCGATTCCTGTTTCGGGTATTTGGCCCAATTCTCCATTGATGTCTTTATAGTTGCATCACATCACTTCATACCAACTACATTCTGGCTTGCTTTTGTTACCTCCTTGACAGCTCTCTTCACCATTTATGTGTGACACTTAAATTTAGGTCTTAATTAATAAGTCTTAAAAAATAAGTCTGAATTATTTGCAGGACAAATATCTTCCTCTATTGTTTCAACTTTATCTTCACCACAGTCACCAGTATCAACAATATCAACATTATCAGCAGCAACAATTTGAAAGTGAGATTCTCATTGTTGTCATTCCTGTGCAGCCCTGGTTCCCTCTGCTTTCTTACTTAACTCTTTCTGCTGTTGTTTCCTGGTAGCCTTTATCCACTGTACTACTTATGGTCATCTTCCGAACGGATCGCTGATCTTTGAGAAATTCACTCTCTACCTTTGGCACATTCTCATTGTCAACAACTTCGAACAAACAGGAAATTCCTTTCAGAAACACATATTTCTTATTTTTGAAGAAGTCTGAAAGATCATAGGGATTTGGACACTTTGGATTCTTATACCTTCTGGCAGCTGGTATTCTGATTATGCTTTGACGCTTTTCATACACTTTCAGAACACGGGCCTTAATTGTGTCTTTTCGGACTGTTGGTATGGATGCACGTTTGTAAACACTTTCAACTTTCGACACAACAATCTCTGCAATAATAGAATTGTCTGGTTCCTTTTTTGCAGACTTTTCAATCATCCATTTTTGTTTCTCATGCAAGAAGCACTTAGCAATATCCAATTCTGTTGGAAGTACGCTCACAGGCAAATCGGCCGGCTGACCAAACGCCAGTTGATCTGTAGATATTCTTGTGGCTATTGATGGTGAAGCTGCCATTATCTAATAGTCTATTGCTCTCACTCCTTAAATGTCTTTCACTTAATACAGACTGTCCTCAGACTATTCAATCAAAATATTAGAGTTGCACACCTGTGAACAAGACAGAATATTAATATTTTGAGATATAATAAGAGAAAAACATATATTGAAAATAGCTGGGATAAAGGAAATCATATTCATAGAATCATAGAATCATAGAGTTGGAAGAGACCACAAGGGCCATCGAGTCCAACCCCCTGCCAAGCAGGAAACACCATCAGAGCACTCCTGACATATGGTTGTCAAGCCTCTGCTTAAAGACCTCCAAAGGAGGAGACTCCACCACACTCCTTGGCAGCAAATTCCACTGTCGAACAGCTCTTACTGTCAGGAAGTTCTTCCTAATGTTTAGGTGGAATCTTCTTTCTTGTAGTTTGGATCCATTGCTCCGTGTCCGCTTCTCTGGAGCAGCAGAAAACAGCCTTTCTCCCTCCTCTATGTGACATCCTTTTATATATTTGAACATGGCTATCATATCACCCCTTAACCTCCTCTTCTCCAGGCTAAACATGCCCAGCTCCCTTAGCCGTTCCTCATAAGGCATCATTTCCAGGCCTTTGGCCATTTTGGTTGCCCTCCTCTGGACACGTTCCAGTTTGTCAGTGTCCTTCAGCATCTTGTTCTTAAAAAAATGCAATTCCTACAAAATAAAGCTGAATTGGTCATAAAGTGATGAAAATAGCTGCTTACTTGGCCGTTTTCCTATGTCATGAAGGCTGAAATTTCAATTCAATGGAAGGTCAATATATTAACTGATATGCATGAAATTATAGATATAGCTATATAATTCCTATTGTAGCAAGACCTTTGCAGCAGACATATTTTTTTTAAAAAAGTTTTTTTATGAGCCACCCTACTAGCCATGAACCTCATTGTAATTGGGCCACTTGCTCTCTGCCTAACCTACCTCACAGGGTTGTTGTGAGAATAAATGGGGAGAAGCACACATGCCCCCCCTGTTATTATTCCTGTAATAAACCGACCAGATACTTTTCCAGCTCACAGGATGCCCCTCCAAGCGTATGTGTATGTATAGAAGGGCAGGATAAATAGCAAGGATGCAATGCATTGCGCATTTTCGTGGGAGTAAGTCTCTCTCACTTGACGCTACACCTGAGTAAAGCCGAGCCGGGCTGCGGCGAGGCGCTGGGCGCTGGGCGCAAAGAGAGCCGTTTCCTCAGAAGGACCTTGGTGGGGGCTTCCTTCCACGGAAGAAGGCGCGGCAGGGGGAGCTGCTGCTGCTGCTACGTTTCTACTCTGCCCTTCATCCAACCGAGGACCGCAGGGCGGCCTACAAGAGAGACCTTGGCCAGGGGCTCTGCCAGGCGCCCGCGCGGTCTCCCGCCTGCGTCAGGGGAGCCTTTTCGCCTGGTTTGTGCAGTTTGGCGGCGGGGGGGGGGAGTGGAAGCGCCTCCCCCTGATGTCTTCCGTTTTCAGACGAAATAGAAGGCGCGATTGTCTAATGGCGGGACTTAATGAGGTCCGCAGGCTAGAGACCCTCCGAGCGCTCGCCTCGAATATGAGGGAAAGAACACCCCTCCCCCGCGCAGGCCGCCACCTCCATTTTTCTCTCTCCGCGCAAACAAACAAGCAGGGGAGGGGGAGACAATATGGGCGGGAAACTCTCCTTCTTCCCGATTGGTTCAAAGTGCTGTTACTCAGTTGATACCGCCTCCTGTACGACCGCTTTTGTCGTTTAATGGTCAAAAGGGTAGTCACTCCACACTCTTCTCTCCTACGCGGAGCGACGCCTTGTCCCGCCCCCTTCGCTCTCTACGTGCCGTGTGCAAAGGAAGAGGGGGGGTGGGGGTTGATGATTGTAAAAAAAAAAACAGCCGTTAAACGGACCGCGGGGCGGAGCTTACGCGAGGAAGTAAGAAGCCGTAATTGGATTGGTCAAGGCGGGAGGTTCAAACTAGCATGGCTTGCCCTGATTGGTTCGCGGTGGCCGCGGCAGGCCAGGCTCCCTCCTCGCGCTCAGGCGGGTTATTGTCTGTCGACTTTCTGAGGCGGCTCTAGCTCGGAATCGGGACCGGTGCTCACAGGGCAGCGACGGAACCATGGTGAGCGGGGAGAAAGACTAAGGGCAGGGGGGCAGGGGGAAGCGAGCCTCGCGGAGAAATAGCTCCGGACCCCCAGGCAGGAAGACCTCGCGGGGTCCCGACTTATCTCCAGCGCCAAGGGAAGGGTGTCGGGGGCGGGGAAGGACCCGCGCAAGTTGCGCGCCCGGCTCCTCTGAGGCTCAGCAAACCTCCGCGTGTCATGGGGCAGGGACGCGTGAGCTGGAACCCCGTTGGCAAGGGCTGGTGGGGAAGCGAGGGATGACGCTGCCGCCTGCCTTTATTTTACGAGGCGCCTTGGAAGCCCCGCCTCCGTCGGGGCCTCTTCCCGCTTCGGCGTGTACCTCGTTTTCTGGGGGTGGTGTTTCGTGTTTTTAAAGGAAGGTGTGAACGCGCGCGATGCGAGTCTCAGGCGGATACTCTTGGTGGCGGCGGGGTCCGAGAGCCGCGCGCAGCAACTTCCAGAGTCGGGGATGTGCGCGCTTGGGGGCAGCCCGGGGTCTGCCTTGTGTCACGTGTGAATCCTGCCTCTGGGAGGAATCTTGTGGAGCATGGGCCATCTTCACAAACCGACCCGAGGGCCCTGGCCGTGGGTCACACTGACAGGCCGAAGGGCCTCGTCGCTTCTCCAGGCAATTGGAGGTGGTAGGGGGCAGCTGCCAAGCGGTGCCAGCAGGCCGGCTCGTCACCACCTCCTCGCCTCTCTAAGGCGCATCTGGGAAGAGATTTCCTAGCAACGTAATGCTGTAGTATAAACGTCAGGCGCTCCGGATTTATTTCCCGACGCGGGCTTCAGCTTGAGTCTGACGGGTCCCGCCAGAAGCGGCCCTCGATGTGACAGCCTGGCGCTTCGGGAAGTGGCCTTTCTGCTCCTCCCCCCTCGCCAAGTCAACGGGGTTGTAGGCGAATGACGTCTGAAGATGTGCTGCCTTCCAGTGCAGCGTGAGCCTATGCGTGTTTACTTAAAAGCAAATCCTACTGATTGCAGGGGACATAACGCCCATCTTAACCATGTTTAGGGCGCTAAGTCCAGTTGGTCTCAGTGGGACTTCATTTTTATAAAGGCTGCAAATGGGCAGTTGACACTTCCCGCAGGCTAAAGATTAATTTTAAGTTTCACTGCTGATGTGGTTGCAGTGCTACTTTAAGGTTTTAGTTTTCCAAGCAGTAATTTTTAAAAGTATTTTACTTAATGGTGAGATACATTCCAGTGAGCAGGTTAATAGTCAAAGAGTTATCACTTCTTGGTTTGGCTGCATGTGACTTTATCTGTTCTCTTTGTATTCAAAGTTAATGTAAACTGTTAAAGGATACAAGATAATTTATATATTCTTGTAGTTGAATGTCCAGTAGAAAAATATTTTAATCACGGTTATTTGCATAATAAACCTAAGGTAGAGAATGTCCCAGTAAGATGGCACTGAAGTTTGCCTGTCTGGTTTAAAAGCTATGCCTGTAGAGCTTAAAAGTTTTTTCTGGCAGATCTGGCAATTATTATTCAGTCTGCTCAGTTCTTCTATATCAGTTGGAAATAACAATATATTTCAATCTTACTTTACAAGTCTGCAGTAATCAAGTTTGATATAGCATTCTAAATTCCAAAGAAATTGCTTGCAGTTTGTTAACTTACTGTCTGCATGCAGTTAGCATTGTGTCCTTAGGGGAATCTCAGGTACGATTCTAACTGTTGACTGTTTTTGTCCCATAATATAAATATAATCTTAAGCATAGCTCATAGGGAGCATTGAACTTGGGGCAGTTTGGACTAAACAGGCCTAGTACTGACAGTCTGATCTAAGATCTTATCTTTCTACTTCATCATAAGCTTACCATAGAATACAGGGCTCATCTTTTTTGGTGCAGCTGATGTGACTGGGTAAATGGTTAATTCAACTGCTGAATATAATGTGACAGGGCTGATAATTGGCAAAATTACCAATTTTGGTTTTATAACCCATTGAGCCTGACTTTTATTGCATAATTGGCTTTCATTTTTCTTTCAAAAGCTATAAACTAATAGTAAAGTCAGTCTTTCAGCAAGCTGTAAGATATATTTAAAACATTTTGTACTCTGCCTTTTGATTAAACATGTTTAATACAGCTTAAAAATAAATTAAACAGTTCAATACAGACACTATAAAAATAGTAAAACATTGAGAAGTGAAACCAACACCAGGATTTTAAAAACTAGCAACTTAATAAGGTTTAATCTGGTGATAATTTAGTTCCAGGTAAGCCTGTTAAGATATCCCTTAACTTACACATCCCCTAACACATAGCTTTGCTTGTACAAGATGCATTTTGACTCAACAGAAAATTCAAATTTAGTTTTGAGAAGTCTTGGGAAATATGGATATAAAATATACAGCTTATTTTTTAAAAAAATAATGTATGGAGACAAGGGAGCAGCAAGACATTAACTGCAGTTAAAATGCCCAAAGAGTTGGCAAGGTTCTCAATATATGCAGGTGTTTACATGCAACACCTACCCATATCTGAGGGTTGCACACAAGCGATCGTCAGGAATGAGGAGCCTGCGTCTGTCGGCTCCCATCAGTCTCAGTCAATATGACCAATGATCAGGGAGATGGGAATTGGAGTCCAACAACATCTGGAGGGCAAAAGTTCCTAATCCCCTGGTTTATGCAATATGTGAGCATCTCAGTGCTGTGTCAACAGCTTTTGAATAGCTATTTGCCTCAGGTTGTGAATATGCCCCATTGAAACAAGTGGTTGTTTTGGTGTAGGGTTGTTCGACCTGACACGGAGGTAATCTGAAATGATTATTGAATGAAATAGTCTTAAATCACATGTTCATAAGTTTCAGTAGCATTTAAGTGAACACAGTCTAGTTACGGCCATGTACCGTAGTTAAAAGGTACTGTATTTACATGAATCTAATGTGCCATTGAATCAATTTTCAAAACCTTGAAACCAGAAAAGTATTTGCTGGTGAATGTAAATGTGCCATCAAATCTTATGCACGCCCTAAATTTTGGAACTTATTTTAGTAAAAAAGTGTGCATAAATACGATAAAATATCTCTGGTATTATCATTTGGCATCTGTACCACTTTTCCTTCTTCAATAAAGTAGATAAAAATAATTTCTTTTGCTAAAAATATATATGTGTGTTCAGTTAGATTATCTAGCTTGATTGGAGTCTCTTAATTGGCTTATCAGTACGTAACTTGAGTGCTAGGGTCCCAAAACAAAGTCCACATCCATCATTGCTCCTGCTGTGGTACCAGCACAGATGAGCTGCCAAAGGTGGAGAAAATATATGGTTCTCATCCATTTCTTCCTTACAGAGCTTGTGATAGCCCTGTAAAGCCTGTTGGTGGTCAGTGACACCCTTCATTAGCTAATATTGGGGGGAAACCCTATTTACAGTGCGGCAGCTAAAGCATATTTGTAGGATCAGGTTGACTGTTATACCTTGTGGTTTTGAAGTACATCACTGGCAGTGATAGACTCTGATTCATTGTATGTAAAGCTTCACTTGGTCCTGTCACAGCTTTTCTCCTTTGATTACTATCTGGATAAATGGGTCTGGCATGAACATTATTAAGTTAACTTTTGTGTAGGCCATATCTTCTCTTGTTGGCACTAGAGTTTTACATTATAAAATGTCCAGATTATTAACATTCCTTAAAATATAGGGTCAAAACCAAGTAGTCTAAATTATTCACTTTCCTTACCTTATTTAATTCAATGTATAAGTTGCCAAATATTTTCTAGGTGACTGAAGTTCATGAATGCAACTCTACACCCTCTTGGCACTTGTGTGGTCCTCAGAAACGTAATAAAAACCTGGATTATTTTATAGTGTAATCCTATGTACAGTGGTACTTCAGGTTACAGACCCGCTAACCCAGAAATATTACCTCAGGTTAAGAACTTTGCTTCAGGATGAGAACAGAAATCGTGTGGCGGCAGCAGGAGGCCCCATTAGCTAAAGTGCTTCAGGTTAAGAACAGTTTCAGGTTAAGAACAGCTCTCCGGAACGAATTAAGTACTTAATCCGAGGTACCACTGTATTTTTATTCAGAAGTAAGTCTTTAAGTGTTCAGTAGACCTTTTACCTGGGCAAGTGCTTAGGAATGTAGCTATTGGTTCAGCTATTGGGAGACCGCTGCCTCAGGAGAGTGAGGAAAATTCTTAGGGATACCCTGGCCAGCACTTCTTTAATCTCCTACCTTCAGGCAGGAGATACAGAAGTATAGTCAGCCGCACCAACAGGTTAAAGAACAGTTTTTATCCGTGGGCTGTTGGGCTGCTGAATGGAAAAAAATAGTGGTGTAATTGACTTCTGACAAGCACGCAGAGCACAAACAAGATTGAGTGTATGTGGGGGGGGGGGCTCGTTTAATTTCAGTGCACACAGGTGGTGTAGGGACAATAAAGGTTTATTATTATTATTATTATTATTATTATTATTATTATTATTATTATAGCTTGTGAAAAGAGAGTTTCTAGCTTTCAAGATTCCCAGAAGCTCTTTGTGCAAACTTAATTTGATTTGAGTATTATAGCACACAACTAAAGTCAGCTTGTTTGTGAGCAATATTTTTAATCCTGAAAAGTGTGTATAATCTAAAACATTTAGTTTCAGGATTTGAAACATCCTAGAAAATATGTGAAAAAATACACAAATCAGTGTAGTTTGCATTAAAAAAATTCTGATGTCCCAAAGAGACATCTAGTTGAGCATGTTTATTTCACTTGCATTTGGTGAACAAAATAAAAAACTTTGAAACTGCCAGACTTACCTAATAGAATTTG